GAGAGGGCAGAGAGAGAGAGAGAGAGAGAGACAGAGAGAGCAGAGAGAGAGAGAGAGGCAGCTCAGTCACACTTAAATCCAGATTCGTCCTCACCGAGTCCCACCACCAAGGGAGCGCCAGCAAGGAGATGCACATATGGGGATCCCCACGCAGTGAATAATTCCTGGGGTGCGCGCAGTCGTCGGCAACATATCGCTCATTATGCTGCTGGTGTCCGTCGTTCTGGCCTTCGTAATGATGTCGGTGACCGTTGCGCTGGAAGGGAGGGCGGAGGGCGGAGGGAGGAGGGAGGAGGGATGAGGGATGCGGGAGGAGGTGTGGGAGGCAGGAGGGAGGAAGGGAGGAGGAGGGAGGATGAGGTAGGGGGGGGGACGGGAGGAGGAGGAGAGGAGGGAGAAGGAGGATGAGGAGAAGAGGGGGAGGAGGAGGAGGAGGGGACATGAGGAAGGGTAGGAGGAGGAGGAGGAGGAGGAGGGGAGGAGGAGGAGGAGGAGGAGGAGGGAGGAAGAGGGAGGAGGAAGGAGGAGGTGGAGGAGGAGAGGAGGAGGAGGAGGAGGAGGAGGAGGCGGAGGAGGAGGAGGGCGGAGGATGACGAGCAGGGCACAGGAGGAGTGGTGGCGCGTTAGAGACAGGAAGCCAGTCTCCAAGCCCTTGTCCTCCTGCTCCTCTTTCCACTCCCCTTCCTCCCCGCCTCCTCCGCCACCTCTCCTCCCCCTCCTTCCTCCTCTTTCTCCTCCTTGCTCTCCTCCCCTTCTCCTGCTCCTTCCTTCTCCTTCCTCCTCCTTCCTGCGCCTCCTCCTCCTCCTCCTCCTCCCTCTCCCTCCTCCTTCGCCCTCTGCTTCCTTCCACTCCTCCTCCCTCCTCCCCCTTCTCCACCGCTCTTCCATATGCGTGCGGCCCCCTGCTCTCCCCGGACAGGGTGCCAGCGTGCTCCCGCCTCTTTCGCGCATTGTTTCCACACGCTCACGCACACACGCGCAGTATTTCAGTAGTTGGTATTTCAAACCATTGTTTCCACGCGGTTGGTTTTCGGTCCCGTCAAAAGTTGCTCCCGCTGTTGCGAGGGCCACATTCCAGGATGGGCGTGTTACCCCCGTCGTGCAGAATGGCGCTCTCGCCCTTGCTCGGGCCACACTTCTGGATTCGATTGTTTCCTCCTCGTCTTTCTCTCTTCTCCACCTTCCCCTGATCGTCCTGCTCTCCCTGCTTCTTTTGCTCCTGCTGCTTCTCCTCCTCACTGGCCACTCGTTTCCTTCTCAGCCTCCTGCTTATTCGCTTCTCGTTGCTGCTTCGCCTTCCTCTATATATACAAAACCTGTTTCCGGTTGCGCAGCATCTTGTAGGCCAAATCCTTCAACTGCCACTCGGGCATCACGGTCTTCCAGGACGCCTGGTCGGCGGAGAGGCACGGATTCGGCGAAGCGGGAAGGGATGGGTGCGAGGGGTATGCTGGTAGATGTGGCGCGAGCGATCCCCCCTTCCTCCTCCTCCTCCTCCTCCTCCTCCTCCTCCACCTACTCCTTTTCCCCTCACCCCTCCTCATTCCCACCTTCCCTCCTTCTCCATCCCTCTTCAAGTTGACCTCCCTGTCGCACCACTGGCGTGTCGGCAGGGGGGGGCCAAGGCGTTTCGCCTGTGGCTTCCTCACCGTCTACGACCCCGACTCTTGACATTTCTTGCAGCTGCCCGGTTGCAGGGCGAGTGGTCTCCAAGCTTTTTCTTTCGACAGCAGTTTCAGCAGCTGATGCAGGGCGGCCCGTTTTCAAAACGTGTGCCTATCGCTTGAGTGCTGTTTTTTTGTCGTTAATCCCTTCCAGCACAAGCACTGAGGACGATTTTTTTCAAGATGGGGATCGCGCTTAAGACTTATACCCCAGAACAGTGCTTGCATTCGGGCTCTGCCGGCGCCGCCCCAATGCCGCCTCATCGCCGCCGCCGCCCCATCGTGGCGGTCTGGCGGCTATGTTGTCGCCGTCGCCGCCCCATCGCCGCCTGGTCGCCGCCCGTCGGCGGGGCCGGTGTGGCGGTCTGGCGGCTATGTTCGCTGCCTCGTCGCCGCCCTGTCGCCGACGAGATTCTTTTTTTAAAAAGGTATTAGGATCTACCCCCCACACTTTTTCGTATGGCAATTTACGTATGATTCTGCCCCACCGTCCATGCTAAGTATGAATTTGCACCATCCCCCCGCCATCCTCTGCAAACAAATAATATGCGCGCGCACTCGTTCATCACAATCCTAAGCGTTTGAGAATCCTTTGCAACATATGAGACGAGGAGCACGCGCACGCGTCGTCGCGCGCGCGTGCCAGAATCCGTTAACAGCTTTTCAGTTTCGTCGCAATTTCAAAACCGAGTGTCCAAACAATCACGTAAAACACCCGGTTTCGCCACATCCGTTTTCAAAAACGCGTGCGCCCGCGCTCTTGCGAATTCTTAAGAAAAACATAGGCTTTCCAATATTTTCAGAACATGCTACCAAACGGGCTGCGCGCGCATGTCGAAATGGTTCGAACGCCCTTGCGCGCGTGCCGTCGCGAGAATCCTTTGCAACGAATGGGACGAGGTGCGCGCGCTCGCGTCGTCGCGCGCGCATGCCGAAGCCCGTCAACATAAGCTTCGTCGCTTGCGCTCTTGCGAATTCTTGAGCAAATCATGCGTGTTTCAACATGTCCATGGAATTCCGCCAAGCGGGCCTCTCGCGCCGCATGCCGACATCATTCGCACGCCCTTGCTCGCTTGCTGGGGTGGCACGATCCGTGTCAAATAATTCGGTGCGTGCCATTCGCGCGTCGGCCGCGCGCGCATGTCGTTTTCCTTCCAAAACCTTCATCACCGACGCGGGGGCGCCGTCATCGTCGTCGTCGTGATCAGCATCCGCGCCGCCACTGGCCGCGCTTTCGTCGTTGTCAACATCGCCACCAACATCGCTACTATCATCATTGTGTCAACCGTTGCCGACGTTGCCATGATACTGCGCCTGCACAAGTCGCCTTCTCGCAGTGTAGTGCCCGCTGGGATGTACCCAGCGGTCAGCGCCACCGCGTCCGCGTCGGTCGCTCCAAACTATATGGCCGCTGCGCGCGCGTGCTTGGGTTGGCGCGGCCGCAGAGATGCACCAGCCAACGCCATGCATGCATCGCAATCCCCGCAGCATTGGTTCTGCAAGCCAAGTTGCGTGTGGGTGGGTGGGATGTTTGCAAGAGCATGGGGTGTATCAACACGTTTGCCAAAACTAATTGGACCACGTAGATTGTACCGCGCAGACTGCGCCACATTGATTGCACCACATTGATTGCACCACGCAGATTGCACATTATGGTTTGCACCACATTGATTGCACCACGTTGATTGCACCACGGATTTCGCCACATTGATTGCACCACATAGTTAGCGCAACGTTGATTGCACCACGTTGTTATTGCACCCCGTTGATTGCGCAACACAGCAATAGGTATTGCACAACGTAGTTCGCACCACGCAACTGACACCATCTCTCTCTCTCTCTCTATATATATATATATATTATCCCGCGTTGATTTCAAAAAAACAGCACACGGGTTGAGGTCTACGCAGACTAATCGGTTTTATTATGATCGGTCAACATCGAGCAGCACTCACACGGAGGGATGGCGTCTTTTTTTTGGGGGGGGGGGTCAAATGGGGATTTCGTTGGATATCCCAAGTCTTAATTGCAGAAGCATAAGGTTGCGCACAAGTTGCGCGGACGAAGGGCGGTTCCTTTTTTTCTGGGGTTTCGCTCGCACGGCAGCCCCATATGAGGCTCTCGTCTTTGAGTAGGGGGCTTCCGACGCGACAAGCAATGTGTTGCAGGGACATTGTGAGGGGCCGTCGGGAGGGATGGTGATGTGCAGCATCGCTGATGCACCTTCGGCCTGAGCTGGTCCTCGTCCTCTTCCTTCTTCTCTTCTTTGTTTTCCTCCTTTCCCTCCTCCGCCCTAATTGTCCGTCCCTGAGCGGGGTTCCTCGGGAGGAAGATTCTGGGTAGGTTGCATCCTTCGCCATGGCTGGATTTGGTGATGCGTCACTTCGGGTCTCTCGAGCGCCCCGTTCTGACCGCGCCGAGTGCGTTTCCCAACGGACCGTGCGGGCGCATCGGAACGATCCCGGAGAGAGGCAACCCTGCGGGCTTCTTCACTTCTGGAGGTGAGACGGTCTGTTCCCCGGTGCTCTGGGAGTAGCGCCGACGACAGTACATCCTCCACTCGTGTGAACTTCTTGTTTGCTTGAGCCCACGCGCGCGCACCGCTAGTGTATGGCCTGTCCGTCAGTCAGTCAGTCAGTCAGTCAGTCAGTCAGTCAGTCAGTCAGTCAGTCAGTCAATCAGCCAGCCAGCCAGCCAGCCAGTTACTCAGTCCGTGGGTGGGGGGGGAGAAGCCTGAGAGAGGAGGAGCGCCCTCGCGCCCGCAGGTGAACCTGGGCTCCGCCATCATATCCCTCGGTGGCCCCGCCGCTTCCCGCCGCCGCCCCGCCGCCCCGTCGGCAGGGCAGCAGCCCGACCGCCGCCCTCTCCCCGAGCCCCTCGGCCGCCGCCCTTCTGCGCCCTCGGCCGATCGCCTCCGCCGCCCGCCCGCCCGCCGCGCCCTCGGCCGCCGCCGCCGCCGCGGGGCGCCGTCGGCATCGGCGATCGCCGCCGCCCGCCGTCGGCGGCCCGCCGTCGACCGCTGCCTTCGTCGTCGCCGTCGTCGCCCGCCGCCGTCGCCGTCGCCGCCGTCGCCGTCGCGGCCTGTCGTCGCCGTGTCGCGTCGGCTGTCGTCTGTCGTCCGCCGCCGCCGCCGCCTGCCTCGCGGACCTCTGCCCGGCGTCGTCGGCGTCGGGGCCGCAAGCGGCGCTTGAGGCCACGCCGCCGCCGCAGGTCGTCCGCCGCCGCCGTCGGCTCGAGGGCGGCGCCTGCAAGCCGTAGCCGAAGGCCGCGCCTCATCGGCGCAATGGCCGCGGCGGCTGCCGCCCAGGCGGGCCGTGGCGGGCGGCGGGCGCGGCCATGGCGGAGTTTGACTCTGCGCGCGCTGGCCCGCACGGCGCCGGAGCTCCGAAGGAACCACCGTCACCGCCGCCGCCGTCGCCGTGGCGCGCGGCGCGGGAACTGGGGAGGAGGGGGAGGGAGGAGGGAGGAGGGAAGGGGGGAGGAAGGGAGGGTGAGAAGGAGGAGGAGGAGGATGAGGAGGAATGGGGAGGAGGAGGAGTAGGAGGAGGAGGAGGAGGAGGAAGAGGAGGCGGAGGAGGAGGAGGAGGAGGGGGGGAGGAGTGGGAGGGATGAGGATGAGTATGAGGATGAGGATGATAATGAGGATTAGAGGAGATGATCAGGTTATGCTGAGGATATGATCTGTGATGACGGTGGGGGCGAGTATGCTGATGTTTGTGATGCTGATGACGATGGTAATGAGACTGATAAGGAGAATGGGAATGATAATGATAATGATGATGATGATGACGATGGTGATAATGATGATGATGATGATGATGATGCTGCTGCTGCTGATGATGATGATGATGATTGTGGTGGGGTGGTGGTGACGATGACGGTGGCGAGTGGGATGATGGTGATGATTCTGATGATGTTGATGATGATTACGAAGGTTCTGGTGCTGTTGATGATGATGAGCGTGACGATGACGATGGCGATGGCAATGGCAATGATGATGATGATGATGATGATGATGATGATGATGATGATGATGATGATGATGATGATGCCGCTTGTGATGATCATGATCATGGCAACGATGATAATACTATTGATGATGGTGATGATGGTTGTGATGATGCTGATGCTGGTGCTGATGATGATGATGAAGATGATGACGATGACGATGATGATGGTCATGATGATGCTGCTGCTGCTGATGATGATGATGATGATGATGATGATGATGATGATGCTGATTATGATGATGATGATGATGATGATGATGATGATGATGATGATGATGGTGGCGGGGGTGGTGATAATGATGCTGGTGGTGGTGGTGATGGTGGTGATGGTCATGATTGTTGTGGTGGTGATAGTGATGGTGATGGTGACGGTGACGGTGACGATGATGGTGACGGTGACGGTGATGGTGATTGTGATGCCGTTGTTGAGTTCTAATTTTTGATTGTTGTTGACCCCCCCCCTGGTAACCACTTGCATTTTTTAATTGAAGTATTTATCCCGGGCCTCGCACCATGTTTTTTACTAGGGAAAGTGAGAGGTCACCAAATTGTGTTGTTGGGCCCCGGGCTACAACAACAGCGGCTCCCGCCCGATACTTCCTCATAATATGTTCCGAAGGCGCGCTCTCGCGCGGGACTTGCTCACAACTCATACAGGAATCGCGCTCTCGCTTGGGACTTTCTCGCAATCTATTCAGACGCCGCGCCCTCGACTCTGAGGAATCACGCTCTCGCTGTAGATTTCTTCACGACTTATTCGGGAATCGCGCTATCGCTCGAGAGACTTCCTCGCGATTCATGCAGGACGCACGCTTCAGCAACCCGCCTGCCCCATGTCCCGACCTCTCTTCCCCTGCCTTTGGGGCTGCACGAAATACATGTTGCAGGTCAGAAAATTACACCCCTAAGGGAGTACGATCGAAGACGAAGAGAGCGGATATCGAGGGCTTGGGATATACGCGTTGAATGGCATGCGAGCAGATCAGAGCGAACAGTCTTCGAATGGATGCAGCTGTTGATGATTATGATGACGATGTTGGTGATGATGATGCTGCTGATGATGATGATGACGTTGATGATGGTGATGCTGATGATGTCGACGCTGAGTAACTATTCTGATAATAACAATAGATGGTGATGATGATGATGATGATGATGATGATGATGATGATGATGATTATGGCTGTGATGGCTGTGATGGCAATGATGATGTTGATGGTGATGTTGGTGGTGATGGTGACGGTGACGGTGACGATGATGGTGATGGTGATGATTAGGACATTGATGATGATGCTGCTGATGCTGACGATGATGATTATCATGATGTTGATGTCGATGATGGTGAAGATGACGATGCTGCTGCTGATGATGATACTGCTGCTAACAATACTGATGGGGATGTTGACGATGTTTATTATGATGGTGACGGTGGCGTTGATGCTGTAGATGCTGACGGCGATGGTGCCGATGATGGTGATGGTGATGTTGTTTTTCTCCTTGTTCTGGCTGCTACTTTTTTTTGGTGACTCTGATGATGGTGATGATGATGATGATGATGCTGATGATGATGATGATGATGCTGATGCTGATACTGATGACAATGATGATGATGATGATGATGATGATGATGATGATGATGATGATGATGATGATGATGATGATGATGCTGCTGTGCTGCTGCTGATGATGATGATGATGATGATGATGATGATGATGATGATGATGATGATGATGACGACGACGACGACGACGATGATGATGATGATGATGATGATGATGATGATGATGATGATGATGATGGTGGTGGTGGTGGTGGTGGTGGTGGTGGTGATGATGTGATGATGATGATGATGATGATTGATGATGATGATGATGCTGATGCTGATGATGATGATGATGATGATGATGATGATGATGATGATGATGATGATGATGATGATGATGATGATGCTGATGCTGCTGATGATGAGGATGATGATGATGATGATGGTGAGTAGAAGAGGTCTCCGACACCACCCCCTCGGGCATATTTCCGCCATCTTTTCCTGTGTGGTACTCGGACCTCGCGTGGCTCGCGAGTGCAGGCCTTCGGGGGGTCCAGAGGGTGCCCTCTGGCACCATTCCGAGCAAACCACGTGTCGCTGCAGGCCCGCCTGCGCTCGCCTGCGCGCGGCCTGCGCGCCCGAGTGCCCTCCTCCTCCTCCTCCTCCTCCTCCTCCTCCTCCTCCTCCTCCTCCTCCTCCTCCCTCCCCCTCCTCCTGCATGTCTGGCTCTGCAGGCCCGCGCGCGCGCCCGCGCGGCCTGCGCGCGCCTGCGCGCCCGCGGGCCCGGGTGCTCGCGCGCCGACGCGCACCCTCGCGCACGCGCGTTTGGCGACCTCAGCGCGCTGGCGCGCCTCTGCGCGCGGCAGGCTGCGACGGGCTCGCGTCGCGTCGGCGGGGCAGCGGCCTCGCCTCGGGCGTTCCAGGGTGCACGCCGCATGCGGCCCAGGGTCGGCCAGCATGGGACGATCTGGCGGTCGGAGAGCCGCCGAGCTTTCAAGGTTGGACGAGGCGCGCGGTGCCAAAAACTGACGCCAGGGTCGTCACGACACGAACCTGCCGCAGAGGAGGTGCTGCTTCTCGGCTAGGGCTTGATGTCCCTGCGGGACCTCAACAGATCGATCCCTGGGCAAGAGGATGCGCCTGTCGGCCAAACCCGGCGGGGATCGCTAGCGAAAGGGCACGATTTACGTCGGATGTCTTGTTCTGTCCCTTGTGCTCGATTGCAGTTGCTTTGCTCACCCGGTCCCCGATTGTCGAAATCCACAGTTTGGACGGCGTGCCTTACCAAGGATACCCTTGCATCCGTACCTCTCCGGCCCATCCAGAGCCCATTTTGTCTGCGGTCCATCGCGCATTTTGATGTCTGAGGTTTTTGACCCCCAAAAAATTAGTCTGCATCCTTATCATATAGGTTTGCCAATATCTAGGCCTCCCAGATGGGTCCGAGCAGATGGGGTCGGAGGCTCGCGCCACATCGCCGATGCATCGCTGATGCATCGGCGATGCAGCTCGATGCGGAGCCCGACTTTCTCCGCTCCGACGGCGCCGATGCATCGACGATGGGGTGCGATCCTCCGACCCCATCTACTCCGAACCCCATCTAGGGGGCTTATATCACAGGAGTCTTAGTTTGATGGCGTAGAGAACTGGTCCACTGGTCCACCCTTCTATTTTGCCCTCGCACGGCCAAACTATGCGCATGGCTTCCTTTGTATGCGCCTGACTTCCTCTGCTATGCGCAAGGCTTCCTCTGTATGCGTATGGCTCCCTCTGTTATGTGCATGCATTGCTTCCTCTGTATGCGCATGGCTTCCTTTGCTATCTGCGTGGCAACCTCCTTGCAGGATAGAGTAGAGTTTAGCATTCTCGAGTATATTAGGCGTAGCGTAGAGTAGAGGAGGGTAGGGTGAAGCAGAGTAGAGCAGACCAGAGTAGAGCAGAAAAAGGGTAGATTGTAGAGTAGAGTTGGGTATGCTAAAGTAGAGTAACTAGTAACACCGTGGGGTAGAGTAGATGAGAGTGTGAGAGTCTACAGTCGATTAGGGTTGAAGTAGAGTAGAGTAGAGTAGAGTATGAGTAGAACAGAGTACACAGAGTAGACTAGAGTAGAGTAGAGTAGGTTAGGGAAGGGTAGGGCAGAGCAGAGTAGGGCCGAGTAGAGCAGAGCAGAGTATTTTTGAGTAGGGTAAATGGTGGAGTAGAGTCGTGCATAATAGAGTAGAGTCGAGACATATGAGAGGAGAGTAGAGTAGGGTGTAATAGTATAGTAGGAGTGTAGTAGAGTAGGAGTATAGTAGAGTAGAGCCCAGTAGATTACAGTAGAGTAGAGTATATTAGGTTGGGGTAGAGTAGAGTAGGATAGATGGTAGAGTATGATCGACTATTCTATTGCAGAGTAGGGCAGAGTATAATAGAGTATAGTAACGTATCGTGTAGGAGAGTCGACAGTAGAGTAGGTTAGGGTAGGGTAGGGTAGAGTAGAGTAGAGTAGGGTCAAGTAGAGCAGAGTACAGAAGAGTTGAACAGAGTAGAGTAGGGTACATGGTAGAGTATAGTCGAGTGGAATAGATCATGATAGGGTAGAGTGGAGTCGAGTCCACCCTGGTCCAGTCTACTCCAGTCCAGTCTACTTCAGTCCACTCCAGTCTTCTGATCTATTGCGAAGGCCTTACGGCTGCTGCCGCCGACCCTGCATGCGGGAGCTCCCCAGGGACTCGCTGGCGAACCCCCCGGACGGACCCGCCGGGACCCTAGGGGGCAGTATTTTGACACAGGACCTCCCCATGACCCCCCTCAGGACCCCCGCCCCCCCCCGCAGGGAAGGGATAAGGGGAAAGGGGCTTCCTTTCGACTTCCTGCGACGTTCCTTTTCCTTGTTCCTCAATTTTCTTGGGACTGACGGCGACGGCGACGTGCGGGCGACTCCGACGACGACGGCGACGACGGCGACGACGACGATAGCGTCTTCCGCACGCCGAGGGGTCGGCGGAGTTGGAGTCCGCGCTGGCTGATATTGCAAGTTTTGGCTGTCTCCGACAGGAGGGAAAAGAGCAGGGTGACTCGCTCCCCAAGACAGAGCGCTGGTGCACAGACGTCGTCTGCCTGGTCATCTTCGTGCTGCACTGGATCGCCTTCGTGGTGGTGACCTTCGCGGGCTCGCAATACGGGAACCCCGTGAGGCTCCTAGAAGCCCACGGTTCGGGTGGCCCCGAGTGGGGATGGTCGAGAAGGGCAAGGTTGACAAATGTCCGGGCTGCTCGCAGTCCGACTTGATCAGGGGGCCACATGCGACCCCTACCCCTACCCCCCACGACTTCTGAGAAGGGAGGGTGGGGCCCACTTCGCTCGGGGGCGCTCCCGAGCGAAGTGAACCCCACCCTCCCCCTCAGAAATCGTGGGGGGGGGGGGTAGGGGTAGGGATTCGCATGTGGCCCCCTATTGATCCGAGCCGGTCCTCAAACTTCGATCCCGATCTTGATGCGATCCGACCCGGCACGAGCCGAGGTGAGGGAGGGAGGAGGGAGGAGGAGGAGGGAGGAGGAGGAGGGAGGAGGGAGGAGGGAGGAGGGAGGAGGGAGGAGGAGGAGGGAGGAGAGGAGGGAGGAGGGAGGAGGGAGGAGGGAGGAGGAGGAGGGAGGAGGAGGAGGAGGGAGGAGGAGGGAGGAGGGAGGAGGGGAGGAGGGAGGAGGGAGGAGGAGGAGGGAGGAGGGAGGAGGGAGGAGGGAGGAGGGAGGAGGGAGGAGGGAGGAGGGAGGTGGGAGGAGGGAGGAGGGAGGAGGGGAGGAGGGAGGAGGGAGGAGGGAGGAGGGAGGAGGGAGGAGGGAGGAGGGAGAGGGGGAGGGAGGAGGAGGAGGAGGGAGGAGGGAGGAGGGAGGAGGGAGGGAGGGAGGAGGAGGAGGGAGGAGGGAGGAGGGAGGAGGGAGGAGGGAGGAGGGAGGAGGAGGAGGAGGAGGAGGGGAGGAGGAGGAGGAGGAGGAGGAGGAGGAGGAGGAGGAGGAGGAGGAGGAGGAGGAGGAGGAGGAGGAGGAGGAGGAGGAGGAGGAGGAGGAGGAGGAGGAGGAGGAGGAGGAGGAGGAGGAGGAGGAGGAGGAGGAGGAGGAGGAGGAGGAGGAGGAGGAGGAGGAGGAGGAGGAGGAGGAGGAGGAGGAGGAGGAGGAGGAGGAGGAGGAGGAGGAGGAGGAGGAGGAGGAGGAGGAGGAGGAGGAGGAGGAGGAGGAGGAGGAGGAGGAGGAGGAGGAGGAGGAGGAGGAGGAGGAGGAGGAGGAGAGGAGGAGGAGAAGGGGAGGAGGAAGGAGGAGGAGGAGGAGGAGGAGGAGGAGGAGGAGGAGGAGGAGGAGGAGGAGGAGGAGGAGGAAGAGGAGGAGGATGAGGCGCCGCGCCCGAGCCCGACCCGATTCCGCGACGATTCAGGCGCGATCCGATTTCAGGATCCAGTCTTACGTCGGGCCTGACCCTCTACAGGAGGAATATCTAAACACAGTCCAGAAATAGTCAGGGGACATTTGTTTCCCATTTTTTTGGGCATTCCTGGGATATTATCGGACATTTTTTTTAATTTTCGTCCAAACTCCGTCTACAGAGGGACATGCCCGACCTAGATCCAGTCCAGCTATGGCCTGCATTGTGCCGAGCGTTGCGTAATGGGGGGCGTAATTCGGCGGCGAGCGAGGGCGGGAAGTGAGAAGGAGGAGGCCTTCTCAGAAGGTCCGGAGGTCCCCCAGCCTTCTGAGAAGTCTTCTGAGCCTTCTCCGAAGACAGGGAAAGTCTTCTCAGGAGGCGCGAGGGCTTCTGAGAAGCCCCTCCGCCTTCTGAGACGACACCCACACTTGTCGCTCCCTCATTTTTTGGGGTTTTACCGCGACGATGCCAAGCACCTGGCGCGCGGCTCGGGGTGCTGGCCACAGATGCTAAATCGCACCCCTTTTGGGTTCGAGAGGCGACAGGCTGATACAGAAGCGGGGACACGCAACGAAACACAAAAAACTTACCGCTCCCTCATTACAGTGGGGGCGCGCATCAAGAAAACACATGCTTTCCGTCAGGGTATCCTGGGTTTCTTCGCTCCGCGCGCTGCGCGGCGACTTCCCGCGGCCGTTGAAGGAGCTGCTGCGTTCAGAGTGCTCCAGGTTTCCCCTCCGGTGCACTTCGCGCGCGGGTTTTCGGGGTTGGGTTTCTTGCGAGGGCTTCTTGCGGCCGCGCTCCCTCGCCGGCCTCCAGATCCCCATCCAGTGGGGTATAACTCGGCCAGTGGGGCCCAGGCCACGCCGCTGGGGATGGGGATCGGTGAAACGATGCTCAGCATCTGGGCCGACGAGTTCCCGCCCTCCCTCGTCCTTCGGGCCGGATGAAAGGGCAGTACAGGGAAAGGGGGGGTGACGAAATCTGCTGCACGCAGCTGGCTGCGACCCGGCCCGGCGGGCCCATTCCTCGACACAGGGGCGCCGGGAGAGCCCGCTGCGTGGGCTGACTCTCTCTCTGCCCTGCCCTTTTGCTGTGCTACCCTGTCGCCCCCCCCCCCTCCTCCTGCTGCCCACGTGCCCCCGCTCCCTCCCCCTCCTCTCGGGGGGTCGACCCCGCTGCGCCCGCCTGTCGCCGCCGCGGGCGCCAGGCGGCGCGGGGCTCGGGGCGCCGTGCCTCCTTCCAGGGCCCGCGGCGGAGGCGA